GTTCAGCAGATAAAAATCTTTAGATTCTAGCTTTGCACCCTACTGTAATTTTAGTAAATACAGATATGTTCTTTACCCAACAGATAGATGACTGATCCGAACATTCTTTGCTCTTAGAGCTCCCCTCTTTGATTTCATGTTGAAAAACTACAATGCTTGGACAGCACTTTAAGGCTCTTTAATGTTAAGATTTAACTCAACCATGATTTAGCTGAAACAGTCTTTGGCATTTATCTCCTTTAGAAAGAAGTTAAGCCCTAAGTTTAGGAATTATTGGAGAGAACTACAAACTCTACATGCAGGAGCACCTCCTCATCATCATTGGTCTTGCCCACTGTAATAACCTCCTATCAATCACTGCCTCAGTTCTATCCCAAAACCTTAATGGTACCCTGCGGATACTTGCCACAAGTGATTCTACATTGCCAATATTTATATGACAGCAAACCTGAGTATTTAGTGTTTTCATCTTATGATGATACATGTTAGAAACAACAGTTGAATGCCGGGGATTTGGTCAGTTCTCCATTATTCAGGGACTTAACCCAAAGGGAACTCAAGATTATTTATGCCACATAAGGGACAACGACATTGGCATTGGCAATGACAGCAAGTGCAAACAGAAACAATTAGAAAATTCCTGGTGGTGTCAATATTGACAATGACTGATGCAATGGCAGTGGTAATTGACATCACTTCTCAAGATATCTTACAAGTGGAAATCCCAACTTAAGCCTCAAAACTCAGTATGATATTTAAACACAGTGATAGAAAACACAATGGATTCACAAGACTCAACAATCTATCCTCACACCTAAAAGAAGAATAGAAGTTGAAGCATTAACAAGATGGCTTCAATTACAAGATTGCCAATGCCTTGATTTTTTTTTTTTCTCTTCAAAAACTCTTTGCAATATAAAATAGAAGTTAAAACATATGATTACTATATAACATAGGCCACTTCCTTTAAACATTTTACATGTTAAGGTCCTGATTTTTTATGACTGCAAATAAAATACCAATAGGCAGGTGGCAGGTGGCAGGTGGCAGGTGGAAGCTCATAACCAACCTGCAACAAAGGGACAAGTAACTAGCAAGAGTTCAAAATTCTTACTTCTTTCCTTCTTTCCTCAGCAAGCGCTGCTTCCTTTTCCTTATGAAGTTGAGCTTCAACATCATCAAACAATTTCTTTCGACCTTCTTCT